GCCGGCGCGTGACGCGTCTTCTATATAAATACTGTTCAGTTTCTTGCACAGACCGATCGTTTCGTGTCTTTACACATCAATGTATCGTCACGAGCCGCAGGGTTTAATTTGGTTTTGTTTGTGTATGTTTTTTTTGACTATCAAAGCCGTGATTCCCATTCACTTGCATTATAAGACTGACAGACTGCAACGGTTTGAGTTAAAAATCTTCGTTTGTGTTCTACTGAAGAAACAAAGTCACCTACATCTTGGATGCCCTGAGGGTAAGCAGATAAACATCAAATTTTCATTTTTGGGTGAACTATCCCTTTAATCAGGAGATTGTAGATAGAGTGTCAATGGTCCATTTGAGATATAGGTGGCGGTAATGCACTTATAAGTCTGCGATCCGCCGTAAAGCAAGAAGAAGACAGGGGGCGCTGCGTCTGACTTCACCCTCCCCAGTCCGACTCTGTTGTTGTGTCGGTGACGCGGCAAGTCCGGCCGGCCGATCGGCAAATGAATCAGCATCAATAATCTGCCTATCTGTGGATGTGGAGATTATTATAGATCTCCCAGCAAAACACTCACACATCGATTAGCGGTAATAAAGCAAAAATGGCGGTTCCTGCAGCCCCAAACCTGCAGCTGAACACGGAGAGACAAAGCAGCCCTGTGAACTCAACAGAAAACGACATCCACATCGACGAGAGAGAGCTGGAAAACATCACCAACCACATCGAGGACGGCACCTCGCTGCCGCTGCACTCCCCATGGACCTTCTGGCTGGATCGGTAGGCTGATGTTGGTATATTACTGTTATTAAGGATTCGACTTTCTATATCCACAAGCCTGTCAACAAAGGCCCAAGATTGGTATTTCTCTTTTTATAGCTAACCTTACTATTTTCAGTTTCTAAACGAGCACAGCTAACACTAGTAGATGGTTCAGGCGCCTGTATTAAGTGTTTGTAAGCTTTAAGAGTGTCATAACGCAGAGCTGATATAATAACTTAGGAAAGTAGGTCGAGTCACCTGTAGGTCATGGTTGTTATTTAATATCAGATTTCATGTTCTTTCTGAAGCTCTGTAAATCAACAGAGTAATATGGTAAGGGTGTACCTCAAGGCTTTGTCAGGAGCCCATTTAAGTTTTGTTGGCGTTTTTAAAATGTAGGACACTGTTAGTGCAGAATAAGTAAAATTGTGAAATTACCACTTCTAAGTTGATTAGTTGATTGTTCATTTGCATGTGATTTTAAAACTGATATATAACCAATGTAATGATATTAATAAGCTATATATATATAATTTCACTCAGGCTGCTTTTTACTTAAAGGGGTCATATGATGCGATTTCATTTTTTCCTTTCTCTTTAGAGTGTTACAAGCTCTTGGTGCATAAAGAAGATCTGTAAAGTTGCAAAGACTAAAGTCTCAAATCCAAAGAGATATTCTTTATAAAAGTGAAGAGTTAGCCACACCTACCTAAAACGGCTCGTTCGAACACGCCCCCACATATCTACCACACTATGTGGGAAGATTTGCATAACACCGCCCAAATGTTCACACAAAGAAAGAAGGAGTAACTTTTATTCTCGCTGTAATATTGTTGCCGCCGCAGTGAAAAAGTGAAAAGTGACGTGACATGTGGCCAAGTATGGTGACCCATACTC